GAGTTCTTTAATATTCTGAATAGTTCATAAAGTTATTTGTGATTACATTCTAAAATCAAAGGAAACTTTTAAAAAATCCTTCCAGGAAGAAGACTGATGAAAATTGCATTGAGTCTGATGATAATAATTTTACCAAGAATAATAATATCCAAGAGAATTTGCCAAGAAAGTCATTACGAATTCCAATTTTCGAATCGCTTTGAGATAACAACTGCTATCGTTCACCAAGTTCCGGGAGCTCGAACTTCACCTTATCGTTCCAAATGCAGATTGTTTCCCTTGTTAAAAAATCAATTAGATATGATAATACTGAAATTGACAATTGTTACAGAACTTGAAATGACTAAAACAAATGTGATCAGATTTTACAACTCTCTTGGTACTCCAGTAGATTTATTGAGATATCTAGATTTTTTCTTATATACGACCGGGTAATGTTGCCAAGAATCGAACGCGGTTAACAATGTCAGTGATAGCTTATCAACCCAAATACACGAAGCAATTTATTAACGATTCTGCGATAGCGATCTGCCAACGTTTTGGAGCTATACTCCCATTCGCTCTGCTTGAAAAAGATAAATACACCAACTGACCAGTTTGCCTGAGCAATTTTTAAAATCTCATGGAATTATTAATATTTGTCAGTTTCATCAAAGTAAATGTTGCCCGTACACATGTTCATTACCGGTAGATTAATTTCAGATTGCAAGCGACAAGAAACGTGTATGTTTAGGCAAAAACAAAGTGGGTTCTTGCACATACGTGTGTATAAGGGAGAGTCGAGTAAATCTCATTAGTTGGGGTTTAGTCCCTCTAATATCCATGCAAAGACGGTAAAGGAGCTTAAAATTCGTTGTACATATGCTACCTCTAACAGAAACTGAAAAACCAATTTCTCTCCTTTTTACTACCCTAAGAGAGATCGCAGTGCCATAATGTATTACTTAACAATTGCCGATTATTCAAGACGTGTTACATTACAATAAAATTTTTCCAAAGCGAATTTCAACTCGGTTGAGAAAAGCTATTAAGCCTAGCATATAGAATGAACATCTAGGGAAGGTTTCCAATCCAAGAAAACTTTTTCAACGGAAATTATGTTGAAAAGCGTGGCCGGCACGTCGTCGTTGGCGCTGCACCGTGACATTTGGAATTCAGCTTCGGTGAAGAAAGTTTGATAGCGCGAGAATAAAGTTTCGTTCGATAATCCGCGCAGACGGTGTCCCCGATTATTTTTTAACGCAACTTCCTCTCTTTTTTTTTCCCCCTCAATGGAACTAGTGACCGAGGCGATGGGCTGAACACGACGCGGTGGGACTTAGAAATTAATTTCAACTTCGCCTGGCGAACGTTCAGAGAAACTTGTAAGGGATTACGATTGTTGAAAGAGGATTACGAAGGATTGTGAAATCTTTCTGAAAATCGTATCAGGCAACAAGCGGATTTCAAATTATTTTATATACTACGGTAAACGTCGGAAGGCTCTCCCTTCAACCATTTCCATTCCCGTTGAATAGTAAGGTTCGCCGCGGTATTTAAATTTATCTCGCGTGATTTATTACACCGCGCGAGTGGCGTATCGGGCACAAAGAGTGCTCGAGATTAAATCCATCTTATACGAGATTATACGTCAACAAGGGAAAATCCCTTATTTTCTATTTTCAACAACCTAAGCGGATTTCTTTGTTGGCTACTCGAAGAATACCGTGGGCTCTCACATATTAACACTCCTTCGTACCCACAATACAAAATTCCGTCCTGTCACGTCTTTATCGAAAGTGAAATACCTTCTATACTCGCGAAATTTTTATACCATGTCCCAGATATAAATTGAAGAAACATTCTTTGTTTGCATAACTTTTATACCACGCGAGGTGCTCCAATCGTAAGAAAGATCACGTTTGAGAAAATTTGTGGTACACGAGGGCGAAGTGATTTACGAGCTAATTTCAAGACGATCTTTTATCATCCGAAGTGACACATGATAATTTATTGGCACGACTCGCATACTCGACCTTATCGATTCTCCAAAGCGCGAAACTTCGGTCCCGAATAGTTTCAGGACGCAATAGCTCTGAAAGGACAGGAACATGGGCATGGTTGATCGAATTCGAAAGTGGAAAAGCGAAAACGAGATAACAGAAAGCGGGCGTCGCGCCCGGGTCCATTTTTTTCGATCGCTGGCAATTTTCTCCGCGGACGAAATGGGATCCCGATTTTATTTAATCCACGGCCGATCCGCCGATAAATCTCGCGATTAAACCGATGCAGGCAACGAGAATTCCGACGTGTGACGCAAGCCAGTTTTGATTTCGACTGCGCTGGTTCAACTGTACTCGTTGCGTTCCAACTCTGACAACGTGTGACTTTCATTTCCAGCCATTTATCAGGCAAGTTATACAGTTGCACCTGTGTGCCATACGTTTCCTGCCTGTTAACTCGAATTGCAGTTGTTTATCGTGATTTCATAAGATCTTGCCTGACATCGAAATAAGGGATGCATGTAATCGATTAGGATGTATGAAACACAACTATTATTTACAATTCCACGCGAGCCTCGCGAGTCTCATCTACATACATACACGTTTCTTCTATTTATTTCTCTAATTTGATGTTACTTTTTGCCGGAAGATAGGACATGCAAAAGAGACAGAGAGATCATGCGTCGAGCATAAGATAAACATCTAAATGAGTCGCAGTAGCTTGGCAAAAGCGAAACTTCTTCGCCTTTGATTTTCTACGGTCTACCCAAGGTACATATAATTGAATTATGTTTAACGTATGCTGGATATCGAAGGTCAGCAACAATTTTAAACTTTTTAAAATACATCCTTCTTGGCGGTGTTAAAATAGAATTCGAAACTGTTTCCTCCTGCCTTCGATACAACCCCACGTAGAACAAAGTTCGAAAAAAAGTTTACGCCGATGTTATGAGTATATTGAGAACAAACTTTCACCACATAAATAACTTTACGATACACCTATCGGAGGTATCCGTGTTGGCGATAGCGTAAGAAAATTGTTGTAAGTAGAAGAAACAGATTGATTATGCAATCAGAAAAGGCTTTTTCTTTAAATGAAAGTATATTTCCGTACTGTTAAATGAGAAATGTAAAACATCTGAGGACACAGCAATTTAGATTTAACTTACTACTCGAATACAGTGTGAGGTTTCACTTCGAAATAATGAAAACACTCTGTAAATTACTAAGAGAACCCGCGTATACCGCGCAATTACGTGGAAGTTACTGCAAATCCATGTAAACGACTCAGTCGAAGTTCAGTTTAATTCCGCAGAGAACATTCGATCTCCCAAGGGGCACGCAATTTTGAACTGAGAGCACAGAGTAGCCGCTTTGAAACGTTCACGACGTTCTGTCTAACAAGCTTCCCGTTTCGGCGCCGCAACGTATGCCTGACACGTGCTTATCAACGTCACAAACGACTAGCCCGGGCGCGGTGATAACGCAGTTAGGGCGTTAAAGCCCGGCGAGTTTAGAACGCGTCCGAGTATCATCGTGTTGACGTCTCTAACGGAATTACCGGGGGGACTGCTGACGAAACGTTTTAAAACTTGTCCCAGGGACAGACGTTGCCACCCCATGATTCATCTTCGCGTTCCTCGGTCCCTAACTATTTATTAAACATTTTTTCCTACCCCCAGTGTCTCTTATTTTGCTTCATAGCATCTAATATGGACCATTGGGAAGCGTACGACTGCAGCTTCAGAACTATTGAGCTACAGTATATTACGATGAATTTAATACTTGCACTGGCATACGTAGAGTATATTACAATTTTATGGAGTATGAAATATGAAATATAGATTTTAATTGAAGAGGCATACTTGAAATCGGAAGTACAAAGCTAAGAGCTTAGCTCTCACGGTTTCTGTATTTTCGGAGCTCTGGCAAGTAGTACGAACATTATGATAGCTTTAATATCGCGAAGCACTTCACGGTATGAGTCATGCGGGATCGAGTTACACGGCACGTGGATCGTCGAAACAACTTTCTACCTTCCACCTTGTTCAACTAAAATGGAAATTCAACGTACACCCGTGCGGAAAAATTTCAATATCGACTATGTACCGTGCGTTACGTACAAAGGTTGAACTTCTAATTAACAATTTCGAAATTCAACGAAAGAACTGAACGCGAAAAAGCGAAAATCCATTAACGATGTCTGATCGAACTCTAAATATACCTATAACTCTGATATTGTACTATGAAATGGTTTTACTTTTAGAGCTCATTAATGCAAAAAAGCTTTGTAATTTAACGTAGCAACAAAATGTAATTCGCTCCGTTATAGCGTGTAATTAGGTCGCATAAAATTACTCATATATTATATTTTCATCCCTCATTCGGTAATTTTTAATTATGCAACCACGATATTCTACAACCGGGCATTCAAAGCGAAAATCAGAATGTTTGATATAAAAGAAGAAATGACGCGTGAGAGCAGCTTAGAAATTGTAATGCGTGTTCAAAGAGCTTTTTTTCCATGTAAAAATTCTTGTAATGTATTCTTTTTCAGTGCAATTACATAGCGCTGTAACAATGAATAAATCGTGTTTTCATCGGAGAACGAAAAGGGAGAAATGAAATATTCAAAATACAAACCTAACGTAACGTTTCATACTCATATTGATAAATGTTCATGCCAAGGTCCGAGTGCAAAGATTTCACGTTATACTCTTTAACCACCGTAACCAGTGTTTCTTGAAAATCGTAAATGATATTAATGTCAGGGCTTAAAGTAGTCAGAGAACGGCGCGCTCCGGCATGCATACGAGGTACCACAGTAGTCTAGTAAATGACGAGTCAGACGGAGGCGCACGCGGTGTACCGGCGACTGACCGACGGACGGATCATCGTTCGAATCGAATCGAAGCCAATTATCGGCGTCGGCGGCAACCGGTGATCGAGTTTCCTCATTCGATAGCCGATTAACCCCTGCGTTTAAACGTAAGAAAAAGGTTAACAGTGGGAGCTTACCTTTCCACGTCACGGCGAGGTGCACGCGAAATCCGACCACGCCATTCTCTCTCTCCACCGCACAGCACCGCACTGCACCATATATATACACACAGAGAACACACTTCAGCACATCTTCGACCCCTGCCCGGACAGCGAATCTTCCGAATCTCTTCACCTCGTAATTCCTTTTAATACTTTGTCTATTACTCCCTCACCATCTTTGTCTGCCAATTTTAACCGGTCTCTTTCACTCACCCCTTGGCTCTATCTCTCTGTTTCTCTGTTTCTCTCTCTCTCTCTCTCCGACCGGCAGGAGAGACCCCTTTTCCCCGGCACCTTTTCTTCTCTCTCGTTACGATGGTGCACCGATCACCATGCCGCGCGTTGTCATTGCGGCGTCGACCGGATAAATATGTACCCGTGGAAAAATCGTTTTTTCGGGTCCAACGAGGCGACGCGACGGCCAGGACGAGGTTAGGAGGAAGAGGAAGAAGAAAAGGAAGCACCTCCCTGCGGCACGCGCGCGCACGAGAGAGAGATACAATCCAGCATCCAGCTACGCCCGTGACAGCGTCTGGGCAACTACTGAGGACGATCTGCGCGGTTCCGGCGCGAGCTTTCGTTCGAATTTTGACCGTAAGGGGCGCCACCTCGGTTCATTACTTTTCGTCAACCGGCCTCTCGATACTGCGTCACGGGTTCATTCGCTTCTCATTTTGTTAACGAACTTCACTGACAATCTGCGTTTTCTATTCTCAATTGTATCTCCTGTTAATCTGCAATGCACCAAGCAACGTATGTATTGTATTTGTCATATTCTTATGCCTCTTTGTTAAACTCTAAAGTAGTTCATACTCAGCGTTGCAAAAAATATTATCATTTTCATATCGTCAATATTTGTCGTATTAATTACTGAAGATTGAATAGAGCTATTATTGATAACGGTTCACTTTGTATCTTAAAGTATGTCTCCGTGTATTTAGACTGAATACGAAGGGCTAATCTTAATACATTCATAATTTCTACTCTTTCTTTTTTTGATTGATATTACAAATGTGTAACCGAGATAGAGTAATAGATAGATCAATTGAAAGGTTATAATACAATGAGAAATGAATTTTTCCTCTTACTTTACTTAAATAACGCAAGTGTTGTCGTTGCAGGCCGTTGTCAATTCGCCGGGGTCAATGATGTGAAGTCGCGCTCCGTCTATCGAATGTATCGATATGCGCTCGATTCACTTTCGATCGAAGATTGCAGCTCGCGTTGCGTCGAGCTAAAGTGTTTCCTGATATATGCGATCAATATTCGGTTTAATAGTGTAAATAATAAGTTGAAACGAGTGAAAAACGAAGGAAAAACCGCTTAGCATGGAATCAAGGTAAGACTTTTAATCATTTAGCTTGCGTGACATAAATGAAATGCCATTTAAAAGGCACTGACATTAGACTTGTGATATCGGAAATGGCGTTCTGTTCAAGATTTAACATTTCCATCAACTGAAAAATACTTGCATAAATAGTTTTACCAGTAGACCTTTAACATTTCCGTTTATTCTCCAAAGAAAATGTCAGCACGTTAATCAGCGGGATAAAATTAACAATCTATATTGGTTAACAGTAGTAATCATTAAGGAATTCGTCGACAACGATGGTAGTAAAATAGATAAGTAGAAAACGTACAGGTCCGTGAAAAAACTTTGAGACTATAAAATCGTCAATCAATTCTCGGTGTGCACGACAAAATTTTTCACTTGAGGCGTAAATCGTTCGAATCATTAATCCGCGCAGGATTGACTGAATTTTTATTTTATTTGCAATTCCTACCAATTCTAACAAGACACATTGACATATTTCTCAAATTATACAACTCTTATGTCAGAGAAATCGTTATTGGAATTATAAAACGCTTTGTTCGCGCAATCGGGATAAATCAGTGGGGCATAAAACAAGCCAGTTTGCGGTCTCCCGATAAAATGCTTCCCTGCCTCGAAACAGACCATTGGGTTTATTGTAATACTCACCTTTTCCCTTTTTAATGGTGTACACGGCAACACTCTCACCGTGAAAGCTAATAATGGAACCGACTGTTACGACCATATCCGCGTGTTCACTCGCATAAAAATTCTCATACATCAAAGCGAAAGGTACAGTGTCTCGCTGAGATTACCTCGAAAACTGTCGCCGTAAAAACAAGTTGACATTCTTCTAATTATCCCCGTTAAGGCAGAAACAAAAGCCACTTGTTTCACCAGCTTGTTTTTTTATCGTAGAGAACGTAATTGTTTAAATTTATGTTTTTCATGGAGTAAGTAATGGTACAATCGTTTAAGGTAATGAAATTCAATTTATTATTCCATTTACACAAACATTTTGCGAGTGAGTTTTTTTCACATTGAAACTATTCAGAAATTGTACAGTGCGTATCGATTCACTGAAGTGCAATTTATTACATGTTGGTTTTTAATAAAGTGCAGAAAATATGAAGCGCTGTGCAATTACACAAAAGTATTAATATTAAAACGAAAACGGGGCTTTTGTTTTATCTACTCAGAAAATAAAAATGTTTCATCAAATCGAAGAGCAATGGAGAGTAATTAAAAGTAATACTATGGTCAATATAAATAAAAAAAATACTTATAACAAACGTAAACTAGTCAAAAATAAAATATATAACAAATTAGTCAACATATACGTTACGAACAAATGACAATAGAAATATAATATTTATCTTCTACTGGAAATTATATATTAGTGAAATAATAATGCTTATAAGGAAATCAGCCTCATTAGACGGTTAAAAAAATGAAGAACGATAATACTGGTAATACAACTTGTTTTGCGTGAAGCACGAAAACTATTTTAGAAATACTCTTCATGTATGGCTATATGAGTTAAGAAATGGCCAAATTTGCAATAAACTTTGTTGCACACTTTGCAAGTATACAAATCTGAACCATCATTAATCGGGTGGTAATGCTTTACCCTTATATGTTTATACAGGGACGATTTATATCTGAAACGAATCGTGATCTTGATAATTTCTTTCTTTCAAAACATTCGCGCTTCAATTGTATTTACCTGTACGGTCTCATACATATCTCGCATTTGTAAGGTTTATTGGCGCGACAAGCCTCTAAATGTTCATTAAAGTTATCTATTTGGCTGGAAAGCATGCCACAGCTATCGCAAATCGAATTCTCTCCTGCAAAGACATTCAAGCTCAAGCTCTGTGTTTCCTCGTGCATACATAGATCAACAGACTTACCTTGGTTTATGGTTGGTTGATCCATGGGAACTGCATCAAACATTGTACCCTCCGCAACTTCCCCAGTCGAGTCTATGAGTGTTATTAATGTCGAATTAATGTCTGTAAACAAAAAATCTCCTTTTTCTACTGTTAGATTTATGGAAGTCTCCTCATTGATATTATTCACATAAGAATCTTCATCAACAGATTCTAGTGTTTCTACTTCTAAATCCTCTTTGAGATCATCCATCTCATGTTCAATCGTGTTTAGAACACAGTTCTCAGGACAAGAATTACAGTGAAAGTCACTATCTATGCCTAAATATTCTGAGCTTATTGATTTATCTGCTGAAATACTTTCTTTATTCTCATCATCTGCCGTCTGATATGCATTACATTCATTGTCGTTTGGTTTATCTGTTGAAATACTTTGTTTATCCTCATCATCTGCCGCCTGATATACATTACATTCATTGTCGTTTGATTTGTCTGCTGAAATACTTTCTTTATTCTCATCATCTGCCGACTGATATGAATTACATTCATTGTCGTTTGATTTGTCTGCTGAAATACTTTCTTTATTCTCATCGTCTACCACCTGATATAATTTACATTCATTGTCGTTTATGTCCACTCCAGAACTATCACAGATATTATATGAAGAATCTACTTCAACAGGAATCATCTCCATGGTTGAATTTAAATTATTATCAAAGAACTCATAATGAAACGTATTGAATATCTCATTGCTCGTGAAATCAATCGAGTCTTTCAAGACCCTTGCGTCGATTTCTTGTAAAAGTGATGGGGTTGGACAGTCAGGATTGAAATCTGTTGTTACATCGTAACACTCTATTTTTGGACAGTCAGAACTGAAATCTGTTGTTACATCGTAACACTCTATTTTTGGACAGTCAGGACTTGAATCTGTTGTTACATTATAACACCCTATTTTTGGACAATCAGGACTTAGATCTGTTGTTAGATCATAACATTCTATTTTTGGACAGTCAGGACTTAAATCTGTTGTTAAATCGTAACACTCTATTTTTTGACAGTCAGGACTTAAATCTGTTGTTAGATCATAATACTCTATTTTAGGTTCCTTGACAACTACGGATGTTTCTCCTTCGGAATTGTGCCTTATCGTCGTCCTTCGCTTCCTTGATTTATTCGAACGTCTATTCGACTTTTTCCTCCACCCATTAGAATGAGTAACTATTTGCAGAGGAAGCAACTGCTGTTTCCTGCGTGTAGATCTTCTCAGCTGAATTTTATTTTCCTGTTTGACAATAGAATTTTCAGCAGCCTGTTCTGACGCATCGTATGCGTGATTTTCACCACGAATTTCTTTCGTCCTACTCATTCTGTGTAATTTTGTACTATTCTTCAAAATGTTAGGAACTTTACGCAATGCTTTCTTGAATACTGATGCACAGTAATTAAAATTCAGATTTAGATAAGCATTTAATCGATACACCTCGTCCAGTTCTTTCCAGACGCAGTCTTCTATCGACACCGTTGAGTAAATATCCATTCTTTTGTCATACTGCATGTCGCAACAATGAAATTAATTGTCGCTTCAATTGTTTCTAGCCAGGGTCTCCAGACTTCAACAGATACTCGAATTTTATATGCTTACATGCACTGGAATTTTTATCATAGCTACAAAAAGGGGAAAAAAATAAAAAACATATAGAAGCACAAATATAAAAGATTAAAGACAATTAAAAAACATTTAACAATTTATTCCATGGATCATATTATTATAATAGCAAAAAAGAGATAAAGTGCAATGATGCTCAGACTATCGAAGAAAAGAAAAATATCACATGCATCGATGCTAGTGCATAATGTACTTCAAACAATTACGCAAAAGTACAAGTAAGATAAAAAAGCCGGTCGTAAACAAAGCTTACCTAGCCTTGTTGACGTAGTTCGATGAACGTGTAGCATTTGTTTGCCACGCTTACGCTACGTTGCAACGGAAGAATGCCAACCATGGAATTAAGATAGAAAATCGCGGTGCAATTTTTAAATTCGGAATTACATTTATTTTCTCACGAGTTCACAGGATAGTTAGTTAACTACGAATTACTAGAATCGTCGACGACGACAGAAAGCAGACTGCTCTGTGAAGCAAATACAGGGCACGTATATAGCTGATAAAGAAACGAAACCTGAGGAGTCCTTGAACATAACGTAAACATCCATACTAAGTCCCAAGTCTCATACGAGCCCCATCGTTAATTTGTAGAATACCTTCGTATCTGTACTCGGTGTTTTAATTTTTTTAAAAATAACTTCATTTGTTTATCAAAATATAAAGGGGGGATGTAAATCATATTTCGCAAACCAATAACGTGATAAAATATTTTATTTTGGTATTATTATCAATGGTAAAAATTAAGAGTAACAAAAAATGATAAGTGGACAGCAATAAAATAAATGAAACACATTTTGTGCTGTAATTTCGTTCCAACTTGGGTTAATACTTAATGTATGGAAATTTACCAATCATTGCTGTCAGCCAAATCATCAGTTCCTTGCCTTAATGTAGAAAACAATACGTCCTTCACTTTTGGCTTTGGATCTTCCATAATTTTTGTCGGTACTGCTTCCACTTGTCCCAACATCCACTCCAATTCTATAAAAAATAACACTTCATGTAGATCTAATGGATCAGAATAAATCCTTCATTTAATTAATCCATCGTACCTGCTTCAGTTAGCTTCATGCCTCTTAATTCAATTGCCCCAATGATTTGTTTCACCATACTTCCATTACGGTAGATAAATATTGTAGGAAGATTCTTGTCTGGCCATCCTGGGATACAAGTAGTAGAAATACTTTTCAAGAATTTGGTTGTAGGAAATTTCCTTGCCAAGGTAGCTAAGTACTGGTTTATCAACGTACATAGTGGGATGCTGAAAAATGATATTAGATCAGTATATAAATTGTACTTAATAGATATAGTTTTATTTGAAGAGATTTACCCAGCTTTGTATAAATGGAGAACAACCCAAATATCTTCTCCAGCGTTGTTCACTTCTTGAACATAATCCTCAGCAGATATTTCTTTAACTTCACCATACTTAGATTTGCTAGCTAATTCTTTCATTTCTGCTATTCTCTTCTGTCTATACTCAAATAGAACTTTTTCATCCTCTTCATCTTCTAATTCGTCCAACTCATCCAATGTTTTTCCCTCAAAATCGTCAGTAGCTGCAGGAAATAAAAAGTATTCATGTTTAACATTTAATTACAATATTTATATAAAATAAACAAAGGAAGAATTTAAATACTTCGCCCAGTTTTCTCGTTTATGGTATTCTCGAGAATATCCACTATCTGATCTTCTGTAACTTCCTTCGGTTTCTCGGGTATAATCCCTTTACTCCTAAGAATGTCATTCCACTGTGTATCCTCATTTGGATCTTGCTGCGACGAGGAAAGACAGGTTAGAATTTAACCTCCGTTAAATCAATTCTTATATACGTACCATGTCGAAAGTATTTAAGAAAAAATAGTTTTATATATGCAAAATTTTACAGAATGCGTTGAGTGTCGAACTTGGCGATTCCGCGTGACGGAGCGCATGTACAATGATTTATTTGTGACCGACAGCTGATCACGTTTCCCTATACTACTACTACAATGAGTTTGCTCTACGCAAGCGTACCCGCTTAGGTACGTGCATTTATGGTATCATCAATGACGCATTCATTCCCCGATCCCCATTCTATTTAAAAACCACGCTATTAGTCAGTAGCGCCGCTGATTCTCGCCATGTCCTTTTTCCAAAAATACTCTCTCCGATCCACAGATCATTGCGCAATTGCAATTTAAATATTAAAAGTAAAAACTTTTAACATCATTCAATTACATAAAAATAGAATAAAAAATAGGGAAGCCAAGGAGAAAGGTATTTTTTAAATAATCATTCAAGTCGGGGAAGTCCGGGAGGATGTAATATTCAAATAACTGGGAGTATGATGTAAGAGAAGTTTTTCGATGCGTATCATTTTGATGCAATCGCTGCTTACTTGTCCAACAATGCTTATTACGTTTTACTACGGTGATCATACATATTCTGTTAGGCTGTGATCAGTAAAACCGGTTGATCGTGCAGCTGTGCTGGACCACAGCCATGTTTTTGTGTCCTGCACCAAATACCCACCTAAAACCAGTTTGGTCCATCACCTCGATAATATTTATAGGTGCACGGAATGATAATTTCCATCAGGTAACGGTAAAAAAGTTAGCGTATCCTTATGGCCACGTTCAGATTTATGCAGATTAGATCATCTGACGTTCTCTTCTTTTTATCATATTTCGTTTTTACTAAATAGCATTCATCTGAATTTCAAATTAGCCAAACAGGAACCTGACGTATATCGACATATCACTTCGTTTTTATACCAAACCGAGGCAAAATGGATAATTCTATAAGTAGAATGAGGATACGTAGTTGTAATCAGAAGATATTAAAACATTAATTCACAGTGGAATTTCGAGAGTGAAAGAAATTGAGATCTCTTGCTTACCACCAAAAAGAATACTCGTTAAATTCTTTACATGCGTATAAAACTCGGGCATAATAAATACCATCGAGCATTCGATTCGTTTTCACGGTACTTTCACGTCGCGTGTACGGCTTTGTACGAAATGGCTTTTGTTACCGAGGGGCATAAAAGAACCGTGTTTCCTCAAACTCGTACACAAATTGCAGACGGACTACGCGGAATAAAAGCGAACACGTGGTTCTTGACACTAAGCAACGAGATTGATCGCAACATTCTTTCTAATACAATTGATATCACTCTAATTAATTCATGAATTATATAAAGAATTCTTCTGATATTCGTTGAAAGAAAGTGAAGAAATGAAACTATCTGAGAGGTCCTCGAAGGTTTTGATGCAATGGATATTGACCGAAGCTTCCCTTCGCGTGAACGTATATTGCACGCACTGCCTGTTATTGTTCCCCATTGTTCCGCTCTTTTTTCCTGAAAGCATTGTTTGGCGAATCGCTCGTGTATCCGGTTGCGTGCTAGATCGGAACTTAACCCTGTATTTAGTCTCGAATTGGAGGAATCTCTGTCATTTATGCGCGTTTATGTACCGCGTTTGTCTTTGTCACGATTGTTGCCAACGCTAGGAACAATTTAATAGGATGTAACTATCGTTTCATCACTTTTCACGTACACAATATGAATAGGATTGTCTCGGCTATATGCACAATTATATTCTTCTATTTTTATTCTCATCGACTTTATTTTAGTACAAATGTCATTCGGTTGTCAAACAGATTGAAGCGATAAGAATTTAAGTATTTATTAAAAAGTTTATTACTGATTAGTCAACGTCAAAGTGAACAGTCCAGCACGAACTATTGAAAGAAAGAAGTGATAATTTCCGATCTCCAAAATTGGTCATTGGTCAAGGATCGTGAAATAAAAATACCAAAGTTCGTTTTCATTTATTTATTCATCAGAATTTAGTAATCAATATACAATTTATGAGAGATTCTTAAACTAGATCGTAGTTCTTCGCTTGGTACCGTTTACAAAGTCTACTCTTCGCAAACGCTACCAACCCAAGTCTCACCGCGTGGAGGTGACTACGTTCGAGACTCAGGCAGTGGATCGCGAAATAAAAATTCTAAGATTCGTGTCTATTAATTTATTAATCAGAATTTGGCCATTTCCATTAATCGTCCATAGTTACTCGTGTGATCTTAAAGCGAGTGACCACTGACTTATAGTAGCCACCCTCAGTATTGGTCATTCGGTCATCTAGTCAAGGATCGCCAAATAAAAATGCCAAAATTTCCATTCATTTATTAATCAGAATTAAATCAGATTTTCCTTATTTCAATATTTATTAATCCATACATTTAATTATTGAAATACAATTTAATTCGAGATTGAAGAAAATTGTATACGACTTTTTTGCAGGTAATACTTACAACTTTTATTTAAAGCATTTGTCGAAAGTTTGATATAAAAATAGTCATCGATTTAATTTGCATAACACGTACCATATCAGATTTCACGTAATCGATACATAAAGTAAATTTTCAACGCACAAGGTATACGAAGTTTACAATTCATGATAACGCCTGATATACGCCCAGCCTCTTTAGACTCGTTTCAAACACGGGTAGTTGTACACACGTGCGAACGCAGGTAACGGATGATAGCGTGCGTTTGTGTTTGCAAATCACTGCATACGGCAAGCGCGTATCCACAGTCGTATGTAAACTCCTGTACTTATCCCGGATTGTCGTCTTTTTGCAATCTGTTTAACGATCTTCGCATAACTCTGCAGTAAACAACTGCTGGCGAGTGCAAAATCTCCTCCCCATTAAACAAATATCATTGATATCTTTAAGTAAAATGGTATTCATATTTTCTAGCTTTCTCAATGTTCTTTCTTTATTAGAGTTCATGATCTTGTGCTCATACATACAGAGGAACTTAGTCAGAAATATGATTTAGAATTATTCATTGGCTTCATGAAAGCCTGACAAAATTTTTAATAATCTCCATCGTATAATGAATTCCTACATATTCTTTAATAAAATCATTAAATGACAAGTTATTGTATGTAGAAATTTCCTATCGACTCATCCTGTATTATGAAAATTTACCTGATTGATTTAAATTCCCTGGACGCTTGAAAAATTCTTTGTAAAAATTCAACGTTTAGGAAGAATGAAGCGCTATCGTATTTGAGACACGCGTTTCCTCGTTTGCCCGATCGGCCAAGAGAAATTTGCATAATCGCGCGTACAGCATGACAATACGATAGAAGGGAAAGGGTCGCGTTGCTTCAGCGCGATAGAGCCCTCAGAAGAGGCGTGAACGAAAGGCAGAACGAAGTGGGAATTGGAAAATGAGTCCCCGTCTCGAACCGTGTGTACACGTATGTGTACGCGTTCATTTCATCTAGGATCCACCGGAAATTTGCAGTTAGCTGCATTCCTTGCAGGGTCGATCGGCCCCGAGGATGCCTCCGTTCGCCTGCTCGTTAATAACTCCCCTACCAAATGAAAATCCAATTTTCATTCCGCCGCCGATTGATTTCGATTCCGCTAAGTGGATTTTAATTGTGCGCCTTCGACCCAACGCGCTAATTAGAGATGATAATATTGTTTTGCCGGGGAATTTTATATGACGTTCAGTCTGGATGTATCAAAACTTTTTCTCTGTTTATTGCCAAGAAATGAAACCAGGAATAAAAGTGTAACTTGTTTTAGACTTAACGAGTGAACCGTGAAATCTTTCCTCCAATTTGGAAAGTAGTACTCGTCGAGTAACAAACTAGCCAATTAATTGGTAAATGTTAATTGAATATCGAACCAGAAATAGAATTTTTCACAGTATAGAAACCGGACAACAAAATCAAATGCGAACTTTCAATCGAGTTTCAGTCGCAAGTAAAAGACGTTCAGTTCCATCTAATCGATAGTACGTCGATTTAATACCTCGTGACTTATGATTAGAATTTTGCATAGTGCCATTAGAATCCTAAAAAAAGGTTTCGCATAGTAAAACGGTCGCACGGCCTGTTATCAGTCCTCAGCGTTTCGCCGTGCCACGCGATAACGGCGTGCGCGTTTGTATACATGGGATCAGGGTATACCTGAGAGCGGCACAGGAGCAGCCAATGAAAGAGTCGGCTCGTCGACGACCATCTTGCGCGGTCCCGCTTACGAGTTGGAGTCGCGTGGCTCGGCTTGCAGTGTACTCCGTGTACTCCGACCGGCCAGCCGTGACTGAGCCTCTGTGTCTCGTGGCCCTTCGCGGCTTTCCCATTGTGAATCGCATGTCTCTTCGATAGTCCCGTGATCGCACTGAATTCCACGGGCAATCTTTTCTAAACGACGCTAATCTTAAAAAACCATGCGACGATCGTCTGATAGAAATGAAAGACCAAACGGAACTCTGTTTCGTCAGTGATTTATTCGATAGTCGAATTTAATTGTAATACTGATTAGAAACCGCGCGATTGTGTACTTTTTGTGAGTTTGTGCACTTTTTTGTACAGACGCTGCAACGACTGTGTTCGCAAAAAGAGTGCCAAGGACTTCCAAGTAGGACCCACAACTGCGTCGTATAAAGGTATGTAATTTCATTTATTAAATCATGCAGATATTATTAATTTAAGCAGACGTTTCGTATGTAATATTTAAAAGTGTACGAAATATTCAGGATTTACTTCTATTATTTCATTCATGTGCTATTTTGATTAAATCTTTCTAATTGCACTTATCAAATTACTGTCAAATCATATGATTGAATATTAAAAAATTCCATCAGCATCCGAAGCACTAGATTGATTCTTCGTCGCTTGATTATTTGCGACTGATTAGCATCGCGCTAAGAATAACGTCACGGGAATATATAGTTTGCAAATTGTCAGAGTACACGCTTTGACAAACGGCCTTCGCTGGTTGCGTGGCAATGACATTTTTCACAAGGAAAGCGCGCAACGATTGCCGTCTATTTAGTTTGTATTTGGTGCACCAGGCCGAGATCTTTATTCGATTTAACCTTGCACTTTCGCCAACCTATCTGCCTACTACGTTTTGTTGCGACTGTCCCGTCCAATAATAATCTTGATGATTGCCCTATCAACGTCATTTGTGTACTGACTCAGTCGTTGAACTCTGACTGTTGTCTACATTTTTCGCTTTTTGTTTTCTAATTCATTTTAGAATAGTGAATATCATTACGTAATTAATAGGTTGAGCATTTTTATACATTCGTGAAATTAATGCGCGAAACAGTATAAATTTTATGATAAATTAGATGTACAAGAAATATAAAGAATGCACGCATGCATAAGTTATGTTTGAAGAATAAAAAGATCTCAACGTTGACTTCATTCGTTAGATTCATAAATGTTTAACATTACGTAAACATCTATTCTGCTAATTAATATTGATTGTCTGTAGATATTGTGAATATATAATTAGGGAATTTGTTTCGAAACGCTTTGCTTGGATCAAACGCATGCTTCAAAAAGATATGAACATGATGGTATCATTGATCTACATGCGTGGCAATTAACAGCTCGTTTAACTCTGTTTGTCGCTGGTCAATTTATTCGTTATCTACGTCCGATTATTATCGATTCTATACCGAAAGTTTTACCTGCACCTCGTCAATGCTACGTATAAATTAATTATTTCATACACGGTTTAAGGACTATTCTGAACATTATTCTTTAGTTTAATTATATATTTCGTAGATCACGTTAAATCCTGTTGTATAATTATGTAACGTTAATTCATTTGCATCATGAATGCAATTTTATAAAATTATGATTCGATGTTTCATATAATAATTATTATTGCAATGCTTAATACGATATTTGATAGAATATTTCATACAATGATTGATGGTGGTCATTGACACTGGAGTTGATCCAACGATTGGATTAAATCGACAAATGCTTTGTCAATTTATGAGTCGGACGTAGCACGAATTTCGACAGACGCGTGATTGTCTGTAAGCTCGAACAATGAACTATTTACCGTGTTCGGTGCCACGTTTATTTCGTCGGTCTTTATCTGCATACGATGCATCTGGATACACGTAACATACGCCGAGGTGAATCATACCGATAATAATACGCGTAAGTTATCCTTGAGCAAACGAGAGCCCGCGAAATGGTTATCGGGAGGTGCGCGGAATTTTCGAGGATTTCCATCCAATATAGAAACGCAAATATCGACTGTCGAACCGCGAGACGAAGTATAAATCTGAAATTCTCCATGTTTGCGTAGGCGGAGACTGAAATTCCAATATTGGAATATCTACTGAAATCTTATAAGGGATCAGGTTAACATTTGAACTCGAACGAAAGTTGATCGAACCATAATTTTATTATTACATTACGAATTTTCTATTAAAAGTATTCGTTAATTAAAGAGCAATCTGATATGCATTTGTTATATAAATAAAATGTTTTCTTAAAGTCTAGACTAGATAGTATATTTTATCTGGCAATTCGTTGCTCAATGAGAATTTAAGAATTGGCAATCAAGATTTGATATTGGCAGCGCAATAAAAAAATTTGACATCGATAACCAATTTCTATCAATCATTCTTTAGATAATGATCGGAGTCACAGTTATAAGGAATCATGTTTTTTATCAGTTAAAAAATTAATCCGAATTGTTCTTAGAATTTAGTCCACCACCCTGTGCGCATTTCTCATCGTTTCGTTTCCTTCGTTCGCTCCCCATGAATTTCGTCCCAGACGTATTAATCATTTTAATACTCGCATCATTTTCACCGTCATTACCCTCCACGCTCCGATTTCAATTCCATACCACTCACGCCTCGTTTTCCCGATTCCATATACATACGTGGTTATACATATGTAGTTTCTTCGACCCTCGCGTTTCTTTGCGCGGCAAAACCATGAATATTTATGTAGCCGTTTTAACACCGGCGGCTATAGTTTAATCTTTTTCATTCCCTTGCCACTCTTTTTCATCTTTTCCATCTGCCCGATCTCACTTTGTTTTTAATTCCTTTGGTTAAAAAGTTCCTCGTCAGGCTGTGAAGCTATTCTCTTTTACCTTGTATCGATTCATGATCGTTTCTCTTTAACGTCGAAGATATATTTGTTTGAAGATTCCTTGTGATAACTTCTGATATCGTATCGTGTTTTACCGTCGATTCCAAAAATGTGAATTGGACACTTCCGCTGAGATTTTCCTGATGCTTTAATAAAAATATTTGACTGCATTTTGAAAATTTCTTGACAAAACTCAATCACAGATGGTGGATAAAAATTGTAAACGTGATTCGATCGTCGAACTTTCTTTCACTGGTTCGAACTCTCTCCTGAAACCCTGGCGTTTTCGATATAAATTATAAACCGGTCGGACCGCTGCAAAGGGTTACACGCGTGACACGTTCACGGTTTAAATAGTCGAGGTAACTAGGCCCCGTCCGTTCTACTTTCCAAACAGGGCTCTGACTCAACGCCGAGATTGTTTTGGGCAAAGAATCCAACGCGTTCAGGGTCTCTCTCGCGTTCACCCTTCGCCCAGACGACTCTTGCTCCCTCGCGAGACGCTCACCCACGCATCGCCTCCGGCGTCGCATACGGGGTGTCGCGAAAGTCCCGATCGATCGTCGCCCTCGTGAAAAACGTGGCGTAGGTCCGGGCGATTTTCATACGCGATATTATTCACCTGCGTCTCATTCACTCTCCCTCCTTTATGCTCGTGAAAGAACTTTAATTGGAGCACCGTGTAATTGTCTCCTTTATCAAGAAATTCCTTCCCAAGTAAAATGTATAAAGATTTATGAGTGTTCAGTTTGTGCGAACAATGATTGCGAATCGTTCCTTTAACAATTGCTCAAAACTTTGTACGATTTTTTTACTCATACAGTTCTTCGATCAGTACATGAACTTAATAATTCCTGAAAACTGAAGATACGACTGTAGCAGAATTTCTTATAAGCTTGCTTCTTATTTTTAATACTTGTTAAAGACAATATACAGATTTTTATACATGGTTCGCATGAAAGAGTGAAACCTTTCCGTTTAAGCACACAGCCGTTCAGCTGCGCGTTTGCATACTGCGGGACCATTCAAGAGGTTCTCTCTTTCTCCTTTATGCCCGGTTCCATCTTGTGCGGTTACTCGCGACAGAGTTTCGAGCACGGCGTGGGCATTTCGCGATTCCGTACAGAAACTACCTAGCGTGTTACGACGGCCACGATTTATGCCCGTCCGTGATCCGAAAGGGAATTAACGTTTTCGATTCGACTTTTTACGATCTCAAAGTTACGAAACGTTCGTACACCATACGTGAGCCCTGTACTGTGAATCTTAAATTAAAGAAAAAGCTGATCGTCTCTCTCGCGTTTTTTTTTAGTTAGCAATTAAATTTGTTAAATTTACATTACATGCGAATGAATACTTGTTATAGAATTACAATTGACATTCGAATGAATACTTGTTATAGAATTACAAAAGATATTTCTTAAAATTAGCGAATACATTATCGGGAAGTTTTGAATAGATTTGTGAATCTTTCCTCGAGCTTATGAACGAAAATGTTTGCAAAGCCGAACCATGGCAACTAACGGGAGACTATGTAGGCTGGGATTAGGTAATTTAGGATTATTGTAAACTGCAACCGCTCGCACTTGACAAAATATTTTCTTACGATCCACCGAGGCATGCCAGCAGCCAAACAAAGCTTGTACATAAATTATAACTTAAACATGCAAACAGTTCGTAACAAACCATAAGGGTATACATTTATTTTTAAGAAATGGTATTTTTCATTTTTCTCATACATAAAGCGTCGTTTCATATGAGAAATACGTTTCGCAAAGAAGCAAGCGTTCGAAGGTTCTCTTGGCGCGATTATATTCGACACAGTAGCAACGTTTTTCTGTCCGAAGCCCCCGTGAATGAAGTTTCTATGCGTGCGCTTTCATGTTTCGCTGCTCGGCTTCATTCACATGTTATAACGCGGTCGTAACTCGCATTGGCTCGGCTGTCGTATCGATACTTACGCCGCCGTTTGTTTCCTGCCACCGCGGTTATTGCTTCTTTCCCATGTCGAGTGAAACGTTTACGTAAACGTCGTTGAGAACATTTTATGTTTATTCGCAATTCTTCTTTTATTACAATTCTTATTTCGAGCCATACAAGTCGAACGGTCTTTAGAAAATTTTTTACATCGATAATAATCAAAGATTTGTTGAAATATGTTCCCATGAATTCATGAATCAAAGGGTATCGTAAGTGTTTAAATGCGAATTGAAGAGTTCAAGGTATTCTTGTTTAATTTCGCACTCTGAGTAAATAGCTCAGAGCAGGAGAAAGTTCAAGCACTGGCCTATATCACGAACAGTAATTTTCTTTGTGTCGAGTGTCTCACGTTATGTTGTACAGATCTCTTTCCCTTACCTTCTACTATTATGCTCTTTGTATGCACTTTGTATGATTTGCACGAATGGCTGCATCAGCCATGGGATTGCACACGGTAAAATCAACCGTTAACGTAAATTAACAGCAATTCCCGTTCTGCAATTCGTTTCAAATTGTCTATAACACTTTTCACGTAAGTGTCATTAAATTCTAATTTAGAATTTATTCTCGTGCATTTTCCATTAGCATAAACGCGAATATTGCCTTATAAAAAAAAAAAAATGCAATGTGGCTACTTTTATCAGCTGCTATTACATTAGCACTTGATATTCTATATTTTTTAGAGGATTAAACAGGCTTGCTCGGCATCGCGTCGATTCGTAAACTTTACGGCGCACATTTGCAGCATTCGCGGATGTGCAGAGGCCGTTCGGGAACTGGTGAACGCGCAGGCTATTGCAGTTTTATGAAATCCGAGAGACGCGTGCGTCCACCGAAACGGCACGCCGGAATCCGCATGCATTTTTTTTTTCCTAGCGATTCGCGAATCAACGGGGCGTCCTTCAAAACAGTCGAACAAAACGTCCATATATATCAGCATTCATAAGCAAATTTTGTCGCCTGTTCTTCTGGCGACACGTCCATTGTACAATGCATAGTACAAACACCCTTTGTTTCGTTCAGGTTTTCTCGTATTTTGAACCTGCAGTTCAGGAATTTCTATTCTGGCTTCATGAATTTGAAGATGAGTATTTCCAGCATTTTGTACAAGACCGGTCATTCGATTGTTGAATTAATCATTCGATCGTGCAAAAAATGCAATTGGTTGCTTCAATTGGTATTTATTTGGAATTCATAGAGAAAAAAAAGAATTGTACATTCCAGATAAAATTCCTTCATTTTTGAAATTCATTTTGAGACGAAATTACAATCGAAAATAAATCTTCGATTCGGTACTATCGATACCGATCGTCCAAGGGTTGACCGAGAGGCCGGAAGCGCCGTCTGGTAGGATGGCTTTCCGCTCCACTGATTTCCTGTTTCTTCGCGGTCTTCTTTTTCTCCGGCGACACGTACGGCCGCATGTCCCGTCTTCATATAATCGCGTATTTTCACACACGCGAACGGTACGAACACGCGCGTGTAACGCGTACCGATAGTCCGGATGCTGTCGGAATCGCTAAAGCTCGGAACAGGAGATGAATCGTGTGAGGCATTCGTAATCGACGATCCAGTGAATAAAAGTTGAATCGTGCGATTATAAAATTGGATTTGACGAACGATGTCCTGTTTGTCTTATCGCGTTCCACTTGATTGGGTTTAAGGATGTATTGGCTACACAATCAATCCCAAAAGTTTATGTATTTTAGAAAAATGCATTTTCTATAATTAAAAAGAA